GCCCAAAGGAGGTCTCAGGCCGATTCTTCTTCTGGGATCGTTTGTTCGAGTTTGGGAGCGACTTCGGAGACCTCAGGCTGATTCTTTCCTGGATCGGGCCCAACGGCCTTACTGGTCTTTTGGTGCGGGGCAGTCTGCAGAGGTATCGATATGGCAACAAAGTGTGAGAGCCGAGGAGACCTCCGAAAAGGGCGATTACACGGCAGGTTTCATTTGGGACGGTATGAAGTATTACGAGTCTTTTCGGCTCCTGTGGCTGAGGGATCGGGCCATTTACTGGCGTATACCAATGGTTCTCATAAAAGTCCTGTACAACCTCTGGAGGTCCCCGAGAGTACTCCGTCTGGGAGCTCATCACTGCCCGCTTATTCAGTTTGCGCAAAACGGTTTACCAGCAGGGGACATTTTCAATGGTGTTTTCGTGAAGGTTTACGCGATGTTCGAGTTTGATCTCTGGTCTAGCCGAAATCCTGGGGTTAGTCTGGGATCGTACGTCGACGACGACACGGTTTCGGCCCATGGTCCTGAAAGTGTTATTATGCACGATTTGGTCAAGGCTGCGAAAGATTTGAAGTGGGTTTTTCAGACACGTTTAGGTGTGCGGCTAGCTGAAGACAAAGCGGTATCTTTTTCGTCGTCCAGCAGGATAGCTTCCAAGCTGCGCAGGCGACTTCAGCCAATATGCCCTTCTTCGGCCACGAACTCCACGGTGTCGCTGGGCGTGGACCTAGCACCTGGTCAGGGGTTATCGGCTAAGAAGGCTAGAGCTCGGCGGCGGCAACGGTTTCACGATATGCGAATTCGTAGCCGACTACTCCAGCACTATAAGAAGAAGCTTCCCAGGGACCGTACGCGTATTAACAAGATATATGTTGCAGGAGTACGGCCAGCAGCAGGTTTCGGCAGCATGGTCCTAGGAGTGTCTGATCATGAGTTGGCCTCTTTACGTTCAGTGCTTATGTCAGGCAAGTCTCCTGCCCATCGGGGAGCAAGCTTGACAGCGAAGTGTGTGCTTCATGGAGACCCTGCGTGGCGTCAGGCGGTTGCCCCAGCACTTCAGTGGTCGAACAGCCTCTGGCAGAGCCTCACGGAGCCCACGGTGTGCCACTTCTCTTTTCGGGATCATATTCGGATATGGCGTACAATATCGAGTTCCTCTCCTGAGTTAGGCCCCACTGTCTGGCGTAAGTCTAAAGGTCCAGTGCACAGAATGCTCCTCTCCCTCCATCGTATCGGGTGGCGTGCAGATAATTTTGCGCTGTGGAGAGATGACCGTGATCGCGTGGTTGATTTAATGTACACCTCCCCAGCGTTAGTGGCCAAGCAGCTCGAGGCTGGCGTGCAGAGAGCCCTAGAGCGCAAGATGGCCACCGACTTAGATGATTTCAATGATGTCAGAGTCTGCCCAGACCCTGTCGCTAAGTTGTTTCGCTCGCGTAAGACCACGGCCAGACAAAAATATTGGCTTTCGGCTGTGTTTTCAGGTGCCTGTTGGACGGGAGATCGGTTGAGAGCGTGCGGGTATGACCACGGGGGGGGGGGCTGTCCTTTGTGTGGGGAACCCGACTCCCTGTTCCATCGGCAATGGCTCTGTCCGAGCGTGGCTGAACAGAGGCTCGAGTATGTCAGTCAGGAGTTGATCGATCAGGTGAAAGCTGCCGAGCCCCAGGAGCTTTTGTTTTGGACGAGGCTCATTGTGCCTCAGCCTGTGGTCCCTGGACCGTCCTGGAACCTCGACCCGACCTTTCAGGATTCCGAGGGCCAGGAAATCAGTTTTGAAGATTTTCTTGAGCTGACCCGTGGGTGTGAGCCCGTGGTTGACGGCTCAGCAACTCAGCAGGTGTTTAAGGAGCTCCAACGCGCGGCGTTCGGGGCTGTGTTCCTAGCACCTGGCCCCGAATACAAGATTCAGGCACGGATGATGGGCACAGTATGGCCCACCCTTTTCCAGACCCCGCAGTCGGCGGAGCATCTTGGTATGGCCACGCTCAGCTGTGTCATTGATTACCCTGCCACACCTCACAGTGACTGCTCTGGTGCCGTTAATCTGCACAATGCTAGTCGTCGGGAACAGCTGTGCCCAAAGCAGATGTTTGCTGGCCTTAGGAGGCTTGCCATGGAACGCGACCCTCAGGGCTGTCTGGGACCTGCCTCCTACACCCCTGCCCACAGGTCTGAGGAGGTGATTTTGGCTTTACCGTTTTTGGAGCGTCGCATTGCACTGGGAAATGCTGATGCTGATAGGTTAGCCAAGCACGCACTGACACTTCACCCAGGGGCTCCGACAGAAGACCTCGAGGCTCTTGATGTGTGCGTGAAGCGTGTGAAAGATTTAGTTCGAAGGTTTTGTTCGGTTGCTTTTCTTTTTTTTTTTTTTTCTTTTTTCTTTTTTTTTTTTTTTTTTTCCTTCCTTTTTTTATTTTTTTTGTTTTTTTCTTTTTTTTTTTTTTTTTTTTTTTTTTTTTTTTTTTTTTTTTTTTTTTTTTTTTTTTTTGTTTTGTTTTATTTTTTTTTTTTTTTTTTTTTTTTTTTCTTTTTTTTGTTTTTTTTTCTTCTTTTTTTTTTTTTTTTTTTTTTTTTCTGCTACCCCACAAGATGGAGTTCCGTCGATCTGCCAGAGGCCTTCGGACGGACGGCGGCTATGTTGTGCATTTTGATTTTGTTTGTTCTGTTTTTTTACGACTTTCTTCTTGTTTTATGTTTTTTGGTATATGTTCGCCCCCCCCCCCCCCCCCCCCCCCCCCCAAATTTATTGTAATTGGTTAGAGATCCGAGTTGGCACGACTGGTGCGAGATCGACTCGGGGGTAGCCTGGAGGTGCACCAAGTGTTTCTCGATCACCTGGGATCAGGATAGATCGATGGTAGGGTGCAAAGGGGTCCCCACTGCCTTTCGGAATCTGAAGGATGCCGAGGAACGGGGGCACCTCCTAGCTTGCTCGATGATTGACAATGAAGCCCAGGAACCTTTAGTGTTTTGCTACAGGTGTGGGGCCTACTCTTCGAAGAGGTGCGTTTTGCTGGCGACGCGGTGCTGTGGGAAGCTGGGCACGAGATCCCAGACCCTCTCCCGCATCAAGCAGGGGCTTCCCGGCTTTTATTGGCTGTTCTTTTGTATCTTTTTTTTTCTGTTTCTTTTCTATTTTCTTTTTTTTTTTTTCTCTTTTTTTTTTTTTTTTTTTTTCTTTGCTTTCCGGTCATTTCCACCCTCACTTTTACAATGATAATCGTGTCACGGACCCTTGCCGTCGCTCCGCCGATTTTGTTATGGAGGTCGCGGCCACACAAGGTGGTAGACAGACGGCCTCCCGCTTGCGCCTCGTGTCAACTCCTGGCATGGAGGCTTTGGCGGCCCGCGTTCGTGCGCGGGAAGAAGCTGCAGCTGCCTCCCGTCGTTCGGGTTAGGCAGGTTTTTCTACGTTCTGCCTCGAGGGCCTCCGAGGAAAAATTCTTTTCCTCCTCCTCCTCCTCCTTCTCCTTTTTCTTCTCCTCATTATCATCCTCGCTCCTTCTCGCTTCCCCTCTTTCCAGGGGCAGCGGACGGGCGAGCGGGGTGGGACCCCACCCCCTGGGCTAGTGCCCAGAATCCCCCGTACCGAACATGTGCTCCGTGCGTGTGACCTTGTCGGATCCGCCAGCCAGATCCGACCCCCACCTACCCCTTCATCGCCGAACTGGGTCCTGATGGCCCACCCCCGCCCAGAAGCGCGGGGTTCCGCGATCGGGGGCCTACGTTCAGTCCTCTGGCAATCTATCGCCGATTCCACATCAATGCTTCCACCCCCCGAGCCACTTCCCTCCCGTTCCCCCTCACCCTTGTCGTCGTCGTGTTCGCCTTGGAGATCTCGTGTTCGTCGGTGTCCTCGTCGAGCCCCGGCTCCTCCTCTCCCCCCCCTCCCTCCTCGTGCCCCGTGGGCCTCTCTCGCTGTCCTTCCGTGATGAATGCGGAGGGATTCCAGTCGGCAGCAGGAGTCGTGAGGCATATTGTTTGTAGTTTTCAGGGCTGGCGCAATGAGCTCATTATTGCTCGTGTAGAGTTTCTGCTGTATACGCTTCACGAGTCAAGCGGGTGTGGTTAACGTGGTGATTCGTGACTCCAGCGACACATATCCGAATAGCTCGGGGGAGGTTTTAGGAACTGATGGTATCCGAGGTGGGCCCCATTTGCATGCTGCTGCCGCTTCGTCATGTCAGAGCGCATTTTCAGCAATCCCGAAAACCTGCTTACATCATTTTGGCAAGTACAGGAATCCCTTGATTTCGACGCAGCGTTCTTTTCCGATGGACCGACGCAGTGGACCGATCTTGTTGTGCCTCGAGGGTTCGGCGAATCCTATCGGGAGAGACAAATCCGTCTTTCTTCCAGGAGGGAAGGAGCTTTGAGTACGGTGTATTCGCGCCGCGTCGACGCGACGGCGATTCAGGCGTGGTTGTTCAAGTTTGAGCTCCGCAAGTGGCTTGGAATCGTGCAAACATATCGAACGATCCGCGCGGGTCGCTCAACATTGAACGATCCACGCGGTGTCAGAAGCCTATGCCGACGGCATGACGACGTGTACCCCGTCGTAGACAATTTGTTTCATGCGGCAGAGAAGGTCATCCTGATCAATTCGGGCTTCCCAACTGTTGGAGAAGGGCCTCTACGATGCAACAGCTGATCAAGGACGAGGATGAGGAGGATGGGGAGAACTAGGATGCGGAGGTTGAGGAGGGAGACGAGGAGAATCAAGGAGGTGCAGCAAAGAGTGGAGGAGGAATGAGGAGGAGGGTGAAGGAAGCGGAATAGGAAGGAAACGTAGGATGAGGAAGAAGGAGGAGGAGGAGGAGGAATGAGGACGAGCACCCCCCACAGTGTCAGCTCACAGCGCTGCCTCCTGTCCGTGGGGCAGTGTTGCACTTTCGGAACGTGGACTCGCACCGCAGCCTGGATCATGGAACGCGTGGGGTTTGAGCAGACGTCTTGTTTCCAAAGGCCAGGGAATGCCCTGAGCCGTCGGCGAGGTCCTGAGGGACCTCTTCGGCGCCTTGGACGCCGACGGGGACGCGCTCCTCAGCGCGGAGGAGCTGCGTCCCGTCGGGGACCTCGCGGGCTTCTCGGGCGCGCAGGACACGTCGTAGTCGTAATCGTCACGATCGCCGACGTCAGCGCCGTCGCCGTCGCCATCGTCGTCGCCGTCGGAGTCGGGGTCGTCATTGAGGTCGCCGCCGCCGCCGCCGCAGCCGCCGCCGCCGCCGCCGCCGCCGCCGCCGCCGCCGCCGCCGTCGTCGTCGTCGTCGTCGTCGTCGTCGTCGTCGTCGTCGTCGTCGTCGTCGTCGTCGTCGTCGTCGTCGTCGTCGTCGTCGTCGTCGTCGTCGCCGTCGCAGTCAATGTGTCGATTGATCTTGAGGCATCATTGGTGTTTTTGGCCATCGTTATGGAAAGGAGTCCTGCAGGCAAGGGCACCTGGAGTTTTTTGCCGCCTTCGGATGCCATCTTGGAGCATCGGATGCCCTCTTGGAGCCATCTTTGGGCCATCTTGGGCGCCCTGACCGATCGCTCCGAAAACCTCAGGGAGGGGGGAGGGACACCTCCCGGAAGGGACGGGGCATCTGAGGAATCTGGAAGAGGAAAGGAAGAGCGCGTTGGGCCACCTCAGCCCACAGGGCTGGCGGGATTGGTCCTGGACGACGCCCCCGGGTCCCTCCCCTCCCCCATCTCCCCTGGCCTCTCCCGCCTGAGCCCGCCCCCTTCCCTTGTCCACCTCATCTCCCTCTGCCCCTTTCTTCAAATCCCCTGCTCTGCTGCTCCCCCCCCAGCACTGCCGCCGCCAACCCTTCCGGAGCGCTGTTCCGGGGAAGCGCGCAGCCCTTCCCGAACGCAGTTCCGCGGAAGGCGATTTGAGGCCCCAAGTGGGCCATCCGTCCGGCTTCCAGGACCCGTTTCCTCCAGGCCCCGTTTCCTTCGCCCCACTTCTTGGGACAGCGCCGAGAGATCTCGGGGGGGGGGGGTCCTGGCCCTTCCAGGCCGCAGACGTGCCGAGCACGTGAGCGCCACGACGGCACAGGCTACCGCTTCGCCGACGGCACAGCGGCCTCGCCAAGCACATACTCCAGATTTCGTAATAAAGGGAGGGGGGTCTCATTTCGGGGGGGGGTCTCTTCCAGGCTATCTTGGAGGGCCTGGGGGTGTCTGGGGACGATGTTTTGGAGGGTTCTCCCACGGGGGAGGTCTGAAATGGCTTGTCTTGGAGGGTCCAGACCCCCTCCCTTTTATTACGAAATCTGGAGTACACGTGGCGACATTTCTGTGCCACGGGCGCAAGCGGGGCTTCTCCCAGCCCTCATCGGTCTCTGCCCTTCTCCATGTGGCCTCGGCACCACATGCATTCTGCGATGAGGTGCGCGGGGTGCCGCACCACGGAGAAAACTTCGCGTGTCGGCGGCGAGCCCTTGCGATGCCAGCGCTCGCTTGAGGCCGCCTGGGCCGTACGACGAGTCTCGGGGCAATCCTCGTGGCCCCCCTGCCCCCTCTTCTGCCCCTCTGTCGGCCTCCTCGCTCATTTCCCCCTGTCTTCCCCTCTCCGCCATGCTCTTACTTTCCCTCTCTCCTCTCCTCCGCTCCCTTCTCTTCCTCTCTCCCCAGCTCCGCTTCTCCCCTTCCCGCCCTTCTCTCTCTCTCTCTTCCCTACCTTCCTCACTCCTCCATCTAATCCCCTCTCGCCACGCATTCTCCCAGCGTTGCCCTGGAGGATGCATGGGCGGAGGAGTTTGCGCTTCTGCGAGCAGCGCTGGGCTGCGAGGAGAGGGGGGATGCAAACGGCTGGCCGCCTTGCAGGACGGGAGCTGGGATATGCCAAGGAAAAG